TATTTTCTTTACACTCATTACAATTACCTAATTCTTTTTTATACCTATATTTTTAACATTTATGCTTATATTTCTCTATTCTCTTTTCATGTTCACATTTTTCTATTCTACAGTTATGCTTACAATAATTATATCTATCTAAGTCACTGTTAAAATCTATATATGGTAAAAGTTTAGTCTCATTAAATTTCTTTTTACTATTTAATCATTGATATAAGAATATTCCTTTGTGTGTTAGCAGAGATAACAAATGAGGTGAGATGAATTTTGACATAGTAGAAAAGCATTTGACAAGTTGTTCTGGTATTTTAGTTTGACCCTTCTTTTCATCACGTAAGTTTTCTGCTATCTTAGTTAAACCAGATAACAAAAATTTTAAACTATTAATAAATTGAAGCTGGTCAATTGAAAAGGTAATATATTATCCAGAATTATTTACTATAGGCATTATTTTTTCATCTGTAACTTTAGCTATTTCTTATATAAGATGATGAAAATCATAGCCACTACCATTATAAAATAGTATAGGAATTTTTATTGTTTCTGAATCAATCCGTAATTTCAAATTGCATTTATTATGTGATGTTCCTCGAAATTTTCCTGTAATATGGTCATGATCTAGTACCTTATTTTTTTTCTTTATTTGATAATTGTGTTTTACAATATATATATTTTTTATATGTATCATGTACTTTCTTTTGTTCATTATCTAACTTACCTTGAATTATTAATTTTTTTCTATGATATTTTCTATGCAAAGCATCTAAATATTTTTTTAGTTTCAAGATCAAATACATAAATTTTATTATATCTAACTTCATGTAATTTATCTTCACAATTTTAACACTTATTTGCTTTTTAATATTTTCGCCATAATTCAGAAGTCATTTTTTTACATAGAAATAGATCATGAAGCTTGTCTAAAATGATTCTCTAAATCTTTTTGAAGATTATGAATTAAGTTCTTTATTATATTTTTTGATTTTCAATTAATTACTGGCTTTTGTGTTGTTCCATCTGAACAATGTATTGTATATCCATATGAAGCTACTTTGTATTTCTTTTTTTATCTTTTTCCTCCACTTCGATTTCTTCACCTTCTAAATTTATATCAATTATATAAGGTTTCATTAACATGTTTTTAATATACTTTAGTTTTACATAATTCTTACCCTCTTCTAAAAGAATTAATCATTGTGGTATTTTATTAGGTCCTGAATATATTAGAATATGCTTTTGTAATAAATCTAGTTGACTATATAGAAATCGTAAGCATTTTCGACAGAAGTATTTTTTATTATGATGATTATTTCATTTATACATCAAACGTGTGAAATCTGTTATAAGGACATAATGTGTTTTAAGTCTTTCTAATATATCATTAGTGTTTTTTCAATCATTTAGACTCTCCTCATCTTCTGTTAAATATAATAAATCTATTATATGCTCGACCTGATAATTTCATTCTAAAATATGTAATGGGTCTATATCTACTATTATTTTTCTGAAAGTTTCTCTATAAACTGGCCTAAATATATTAATAGCATAGTTAGGATTAATTTTTTTAAATTTGTCTATATCATGTAGTGTGGCAAGAAAATTTATATTATTAAAATTAGCAATATTCGCATTTTGTCTAAGTCTTTGAATTTCATTAAGATGGTGTGATTTTCTATTAGCTTTTATTACTTCCTCTTTTGTGAGATATGCATTTATACACCATTTAAAACATTCAATATCATCTCTATTTTGTAAATTAATTAATCCTAGTTGAGGTTTATTTAAAGCTTTTGGTAAAGGTAGATAACTATTATTTCATAATGATTTAAAAACACTTATCTCAATAAATATCTCTTCTGCCTGAACAAATGTTCAACCTGACTCTTGTAATATTTCATCTTCTATCTAATCAATAATTTCGTTATATCCCTTTTCTATAACAGCTCCAATTCAATACTCTCTAATAATTTCTATTGTTTCATATTTGAATGAAAAAGTTTTGAATATAGGTTCTTGTGATTCTGATACAATTTTTCTCATATAAGCATATAATACAATTCTTACCTTTAATTCACTTTTTAAAGTTAACTCTTTTTTGTAAATATCAGTAATCTTTTCTTCGATTGATTCAAAGAAGGCTAATAGTTTATCTTCGGCATAATACCCCTTTAGAATAAATACATAATAATCACATACCTCACCTTCATTAAATTTTTCTACTTCTGATTTTCTATTAATATAAGGGTTTTTAATTTTTTCAAAATAAATATCCAGTTCTTTTTCAGCGGTATCATATTCTGAATCACTTGGTTCATTATCTTTTTAATTATCTATTTCTATTAAACCATACCATTCTTTATCAGTTTTAGAAATTAGTTTCAATCTAATTTTTTTATTATTTTTTATTTTAGATTTTGATAACCATTTTATTAATTCATCTATTGTTAAAATTGATTTTTTTTTATTCTCCTTGAATATTAGAACTTGGTTCTACTTTTATATCTAAAATATCATCAGTTAAAAGGTCAACTGCCAATACACTTTACTTTCTCAGGTGGAGTATTGGTAAGTTTTCATTGAACAAAATGAAATCACCTTCTGGAGCTAGTACTGGATTTTGCTCTGAAATAATGTTTTCTACATTTTGCACTAGAACAGGAGCTGTAGCTGGATTTCCTATTGGAGCTTGAGTAAAATTCTTAGATCAGTAAAGATTTTTTCAATTTAAATGTTGTTGATATTTCTGATAAATAGAAAGATTTAGACTGCATCTATCACAAGTAGTATTTTTAACCATTGTGTATAAAAAGTATTATATATTACTTTTATAAAAATCTTTACTTTAATTAATTATTTATCCTAATCAAATATGATCGGTGAATATACCTGCCAATATATATATAATTCTGGTAAAATTTGTAATGATCTTTCTATATATTCTAAAGGATACCATCTTCATTATAAGTCAAAAAAATATGTACTTTGTAGTGATTGTGGAAAACCAACTACTTCTGCTTGTGGACGATGCAAAATTCATAAAATAGGATATTATGTTACATCTTATTATCAAAGACTTTATGAAAAAGCTTTTAAGTAGAGCTTATGTCAAGGTATAGAAAAATATATATCAGAAATAAGATTAAACCGTAGAATATAGCTCATTTCTTTGAAATAGAATTCTTGGTTAAATTGGTGTACCTAAAAATTTGTTACTTATTTTTTTTATCTTTTTTACTATTTATGTATTAACTAAACAGATAACTATATTCTGTTTCTCTAGAACAGAAAATGTTTTAGTGATTAAATACGATAACTATGTTTCACTACGCTTCACATCCGGAATCGTTATGTTCCTCCATAACTGAAAACAATTTAACAATCAAATAAGTTGACATTTATTTATAAAAGTTATCATGAAAATATTAAAAAGCTTGAAAGCTACAGAAATAGATTAGAGTTAATTAAAAATACACCATTTGCATATTCAAAAATTTTATCTATATTTTTTTAAAACAGAAAATATTTTAGCAATCAAATATGATGACTATGCTTTGCTACATTTTGCATCCAAAATCGCTATGCTCCTCCATAAGAAAAAACAATTTAATAAACAAATATAATAACTATGTTTCTCTGTGACGGAAAGCAATTAACAATTAAATATGATAACTATACTCTGCTATGCTTTGCATGTGGAGTCGTTATGCTCCTTTGTGATAGAAAGCAATTTAGTAATCAAATAAGTGGACATATATTTTAATTAAATTGATATATTTTTGATTAAAAAAATTAATTTATGTATATATATATGAAAGTTATTGAGAATAAGTTAAAAGCTTGAAATCTATAGAAATAGATTAGAGTTAATCAAAATATACCATCTGTGTATTCAAAAAGTTCACTATTCTATTATTCACTAATTTCAATATTGATCAACTAATTAAAGACAATAAGTCACGTGAAGACTTTCTTGAAGTAATACGTGAGCAAAATCTCAAATTTTGAGCAATTGCTAAGGTTGAAAAAAGGAAAAAGATAATTCAATATATACAGAAAGCGGTTGAAAAATAATGGGAAGATCTTAAAGATAACAAGAAATGTATAATTAATAGTATACTAGATAAACCTTATAAAACAATCATTATGGATCGATTAATAGATACAAATCAAAATGGTAACACAATAATCATCACTGACAATAATGAAATAAAAGAAAAGGTGTGTGACCACTTTTGTTAATAGACTAGAAAGAAAGAAACAAATGTATATCTACTGAAAAAGTGGAAAAAGTGATATGAACCTTCTGAAAAAATTAATGCAAGATGATATAGCTTATTATGTAACAAAGTAGAACTAAAAGAATTGGAGGAGGAGATTAGATTTCTCCCTAATAAAAAAGTACCTGGTCAATCAGGCCTACAAATGAATGATTTAAATACTTATCTAAAAGTGAATACGAAGCATTCAGACATATAATCAACATGGCAATAGAACTTAATAATATATTCAAGGAATGGATGCAGGGATATATATATCCTATATCTAAAACAACAGAATGAAGCAAAAACCTAAAAATTATTCGTCCTATAATATTATTTGAGATGGCAAGAAAAATTTTCAAGAAAATCATGAATTATAAACTTTTAGTTATTTTTAGTAAAAATAAAATTCTGACATCACACAACTATGCTAGTCTCCTTGGAGACAATAACAAAATCCTATTCACATTATAAATAACATAATGGAAGATGCTAGAACAAAGGAAAATGAATTATGGCTTATATTTCAGGACATGAGTAAAGCATTTGACTTAGTTAATTTAGATTGTCTAGAACGTATACTCAAAAGAATAAAAATGTCATCCCATTTACCAATATAGTTAAAAACCTTTTGGGTGAAAGAGAAAACATTGTAATCACAACACATGAAAATATAGTGTTGTATAGGGTCGAGGATGGTATAGACCAGGGAGATATTCTGTTATCTATACTGTGGTGTATTTTTTATGATCCACTAATAAACCGTATTACAAAATCGTCCCTGAATTATAATATGAAAGAAACATGGATAAACGTTCTTAAAAAAAGAACAAAAAATATGTTACATACAAGAATTGCAGTAGTAGTATATGTGGATAACACAAATTGGTTCATATCGACAAGAGATAAGATGAAGAAAATTTTAAATATAGTCAATGAATTCTTTACAATGAATGACATTACGATCAACAAAACTAAATTATATTTGATTGCTCTTAATATAACACCAATAGAAAGGGCAAATGGGATTAAAATGGAATTGAATATTTTGATATCAGAGAAAAAAGACTTTCCTGTAAGATCTTTGAGAGTGTATATAACAGAAAATGAATTGAAGAGATTTTAGAAGGAATATATGAAAAAACTTTTAGATTATATGGCATATGTTATGAGAGAAAAACCTGTAACTGATAAACAGGCAATATACATATTTAATACAGTGGTTATTCCAATGCTAAAATATAATTTAAATGATATGATTCTTATCAAAAAAGAGTGTAGAAAAATAACTTTTCGCTTTATCTCAACAATTAAAAATAAGGTACTGCTCCTCAGTACTGTACTTAATGCTCTTATATATATAAAAGAAGTGTATAATGTTTGTAATTTATGGGACAGACAATTCCAGATGCATAGTAGCAATCTTTCTAATAGATTCAACGATAAGAAATTGTTGGGGGTTACAATACATATATGATTACAATACCTCCAAAATCTCTTTTGATCAAAAGAACTAATCACTAAGTCATTGGACTCAATAAAAACTACAAGAAACCAATCTTTAATCAATGATATTTTAAACATATGTAAATTCAATAATTTCACATTTAAGTTATCAAGAAATATATGGGAAAACATAATTGTAACTGGGGGAAATGTCACAATTGAGAAAATTTTGTGAGAAGAGAATTACTATTTTCAATATAGGAAGTTTCTCTGACAATGTGGCCTTCTGTACTTAGAACAATTAATCTCATTTGACTGTCAACGACTATTATATTAGCAAGAAATCAAAAATAACAAGAGAAGGGGGTCCAAATCTGGTTGATTCAAAATTGTAGAAAGAAAATTTTTATCAAGTGACAACAATAGAGAATTAAATAATCTTTAACTTATTAACAGACTGAAAAGAGAATTTAACACATGTGAATAGAATATGAATAGAGAATTCAAAGACATTAGTTAGATTGCTGCTGCAAATAACATAAACTCAAAACTAATATTGGGAAAAAAATATAAAAATATAAACAAACGTGAATTTATCGTGGAATATTATACAAAAGAAAGAGATATGGCTAATATTGAGAAATCAGTATAGAGACAATATGACAGGTGCATACAGGGAGGACAAAGACCTGATAAAACACTTAATTAATAAAAATGTATGCCTATTTAAAATGGACATTACACACACAGTGGGAATCAATGTTATTAACAGTAAAATATCATTAAGGATGACTCCAGATCAAATCTTTAAACTAAGATTACGATCAGAGAAAGAAGTAATTAAAGATAGATTAAATAAAATATTATATAATTCGTAACTAGGGGGTCATCAAAAGGGAAGTGAAGTTTCTAACATCACAATTAATAACCTGTCAAATAACTGGGATACTATACTCACTGACAATTTTTAAAAATAAATCATTTTAGTTATTCTATATAAAACTTTTATTATTATTAATTAAATCGTATTTTAT